AAACAAACAATTACATGGAGGAACCAGCCAAAAAGGAAACCAAACAGCTTCGTTTGCCAGCCCTTATTAACAGCAAAAATACCACTTTATTTTGGTTTCTGAGAGCTCCTTGTTATCACCTGGAAAACAAAACCGAGTCTCAGTTTACAAATGAAAAGTGTCACAGCAGCAGAGTGACACGTCAGGAGATGAGCACTTGGGACTGAATTATCAGGGGATGGCAGCACCCATTCCCAAATCCTAATAATCTCCAGGAGCCCTAAGGAAGTAAGAGTTATTAAAGGCTACTTTTACTCCACAGCCCTAATAAAACCCACACATAACTCTTGTGGAAATCACAGACTCATTTAGGTAGGAAAAGACCTTTAGGATCATCATTAACCCATCACTGTAACCTCTAAACCACATCCCCAAGTGCTCTATCTACACATCCTTTAAATACAGGCATGGAGCAGGAAGGATTTGGAGCAAGTTTCAGAGCCATGCTAAGCTTTTTTGGTTATTCCATTAAAAAAAAAAAAAAACCAACCCGAAACCAAAACAAACCATATAAAACAGCCCATAAATACACCCAGGCATGGAGCAGGAAGGATTTGGAGCAAGTTTCAGAGCCATGCTAAGCTTTTTTGGTTGTTCTATTAAAAAAATCCCCAAACCCAAAATAAACCATAGAAAACACCCCACAGTAGGACCTAACAGCAAAAGGCAGCTCTGATTTATCAATATTTTTGTCAGCCCTGTATTCCAGACCAGCAGGAACTACCTGAAATCCAGAGGTGCCTCTTTCAGATGGCAGTGAAAAACCATCTCAGCCTGCACCCAACAGCTCCAACCCACCGAAAAATCCCTCTGGGAGAGTCTTTGTGTGCTCCAGTACAAAAGGGAGGCACCAAATGCTCTCAAGTGCTCAGTCATGAGCTGCTTGTTTAACCCCCCCGTGCCAGCCAAGCAGAGCCCGGCTGTATTAGTGCAATTGTGAGCAACAAATCTCACTGCTTAATATGCAAATTCCCCTGGTCAGTCTTGCAGAGGAGCACCATGAAAGCACTTATTGTGACTTCCAATTAGCCATGTGATACGCAGGCCTGCACAGCACTCAAGGAAAATATTTAAGAAACTGTTGTCCAGTTGCTGAGAGCAGAGGTGGAGGACAATATTTGCTTTTCTCTGAGTTAATGAAGCTCCAGCACTGCATCAAACTCCACGGGAGGAATTGATAGTTTGAATCATCTCCCATTCTGGCAGATTATTTCCACTTGGCCCTGTTCTCACTGCTGGGTGATGGGGGCAGCAGGAAAGAAGACAAATTTCAAACAGAATCAGCATCTTCGCTCCCAAGGAAGGGCGACAAGAACTGCAGCGGGCAGGCGAGCGTCGTGTCAAGGAGAGCTCAGCAGCAATCAGACAGCTGCAGCCAAAATCCTTAATGTGGAATGACTCGTGCTTCCAGCCGCTGGATTCCCTGCTTTTCCCTCACTCCACACAAGTCACTGTCTCACTGAGCTTCACCACGTCAGACAAAGTAATATGCAGCTTCTGAGAGGGGTGAGAGTTTGCCGCGAGAGAATGAGCAGGTTCCTCCTCTTCCCTCTTGCTGCTCTTCTCGGGAAAGAGAAAAGAAATTGAGGATCCCTCCAGGAAGGACCTGCCCATGGGGATGGGAGCTGGCACAGCTCTGCTGGTTTTCCTGAGCATATCTGATGGACAGGCACTAGGGCAGAGTTTTCCAGCAGTTCATTCCAAGCCCAAAGCAATTCCAAAAGCTCAAGTGAAGAGGTGACACAGTCTGGGGAGTGGCTGCAGAACAGTTATTTCTCCCCTGCTCTCAGCATCCTGCAGGAACTCGCTCACCTTTGGCAGGGCACAGCTGGAAGAGATGCAGTGCTCAGCTCCTGAAACCTTGGGCTGCTAGGTGGGAGACAGCTGAGCTAAAGGGATGAACTGGGGAAAAGTTGTGTCTGTAAACCAGTTAATGATGTCCTTTAATGACTCCCCAGTAAACCCACCCAGGACACCCACCACAATTTGGTTCTGCTGGGCTACGACACATTGAGCATCAAGACAGGAACTTTTCCTGTCTATGCCAAACAACATCCTGGTGAAATGAAAACTTGCTAAAAAGAGCAGAGCTAATGAAACAGCTGGTACCAATCTGCAAAGCCCATTTCATTTCCAGCCTGATGGGCAGAGCAGCATCTGTTAAATTCTTGGTGAGGAACAGCCTCCTCCTGCTCCGGTCACTGCAAACAGAACTGTGCAATAAGCTGGGCTTTTGATTAGCTCCATCTCACACATGCAGACACACCTGATGATCCACACCAGCTCTCCTGACACACACAGGCATCCTGACCTTGAAAAATGCCCACAGTAAGAGACAAAAGAAGCACACGTGGCCAGGACATGCCGTCAGCTCTGCCAAGCTGCACACGAGCAACGGGAAGTGCTGGCCACAGACAAAAACACTGAAGAGAATACAGGGATGTGACAAATCCTCCTCTCAACTCCAATAACACAATTGAGCACGATTTTGCCACTCCCCACTGCCCTGGAATAAATTGAAACTGGGATGAATCAGACTTGAGAGCTGGCTCTGCTTTCACCCAGCATCGCACACAGCCACTGCTGTCTAATCAAGCTCTCGCAATTCTCCAGGAAACTTCTCCATTCTGGGGAAAAGACAAAGCCTCTCCAAAACAAGTCCATCACTGGCAAGTTAGAATCAGCGTGTTCCAAAACACCTTCCTAGGATTTCGAAACGTTCTGGCCCTGCTCACCGACAGCAATCTGAAAGCGAATGTAGCGGGTTAGGTCACAACCCCGGAGCTGGGGGAAACGAGCCTCACTTGGGAAACAGGAAAAAGTCATCTCTCTGCACAGCTCTGAACTGCAAACCGTGTTCACTTGTGCTTCAGCTGCTTCACTGGCTGATGCCTCCAGACAGAAGCTCCCCTGAGAGAGCAAGTCAGGTTTCAGGCTTGGTCAGGGCAGGCTGGCAGAATTTGTAAAGCTCGGAACCAGGGCAGGCTGGACTTTAACACCTGGGGAGTCACGTTTAGAGAAAATACTCAGAGCTTAACCTACCCCCCCTTTCCTCCTTGTGGAGAGGCAGGAACAGATCTGTAGCATTACAAAACAGGCTATTGCACACTGGAGCTGATTGTTTAAGACAGTCCTAAGAAGCTCATAATTCAAGAGAAATTTCAGCGCTTCTCACTTCAGCGAGACAACCTTAAGGAACATTACCCTGAGAGCATGAATCAACACGAGCCAGCTGACACGAATTTCACATCTCTTACATCTTGAAAGCCCAGCTGCTGTTGCAATGCACCAGGCACAATGGGTTATTTAACCCCAGAGCAGCAGAGTGCCATGCCATGCCCTGGCAGGGACACAGAAAGCCTGGATGGAGCCTGCCCACCTCACATGCTGCTCTGGGGAGTGGAATCTGTTTTACAATATCACCCAAAGCCTGATCATGTTCTTCTGTCTCATTCATTCGATATCACACGTGAGATAAGAGCAAGGAAATTAAACCGAGCCTATTTCTGTGACATGATCTCACCTCATAACACCAAAGCACATCTCAGGATAAGCACCAGTGGAGCTTTTAACGCTATTTTTTGGTCAAGATTTTGGGGTATGTGATGATTCCTGCTATTCTTTGACTGGTCCGTTCTGCTCAGCACTCCTACAGGTTTTTACTGGTTGGTAAATCTGCTCGGTACAGATGCATTTTAGGTAACCCACTTCTTCCCTTTTTACTAATAGAGTAAGGACGACTCATACTCAAAGCTATAAAATTCCTTTTAATGACACTGATGTGATTAAATCCACAGGAGGTTGTGGAGCTTCCCTCTCCATTCCAAACCCACCTGATTGTGTCCCTGTGTCACTTGCTCTGGCCCTGCCTTAGTAGGGTGGTTGGACTGGATGATCTCCAGAGGTCACTCCCAACCCCAACTATTCGGGGATTCTGTGAAATCCCACATAGTTCTTAGCAGCTGGAATTCTGGTATTTCCACGAACTCTGTCTCTGGCATTAACCAGCAGATGTTTGGTTCGGATACAACTCCAAGTGCTGCATATTTTTACATTATGGAATGACAGCAAAGTCACAGATGGAAAGAACACCCATCAGCTGGGACATCCGAAACAAAACCAGACTGATAAATAACATTCTGTAAGGCACAGAGGAATACACAAACCCAGATCAGCAACTCCCCTCCTGAAATCTGTGGACCTTGCATGTATGAGGACGACTTATAAGTCAAGTGTCCTGTTGGTAGGCTGACTTTAAATGACTATAAAACATACACAGCTCAGCTGGAGAACACCAGGGGTCCACAAACATTGAGAAAGCAATCATTCAGGCTTTTAGCCGGAGAAAGGCTGCTGACACTGCAGCAGCGTTTGCACGCTGGCTTTGCTGCCCAGGTCGGGCTGCAGTCGCACAGAGCGACAGAGCCCACGCTGCTCCATCCAGCACCTCCGCGAATCGCTGCCGTCTCCAGCTGAGAGCCAAGCACCTCTCCCGGCTGAAAAACAACCCGCAGCACCGCCAGGACCCGAGCGAGCCGAGGAATCATTTCCCGCACAGCACAAGGAGCGGAGCCCGAGGAAAACAAACTTCGGGAGCCGCGGGCAGGCCCTTTCCCCAGCCTGGCTTTATCGCAGCAGGGGCCGCATCCCTGAGCCGCCCGGCGCTGCCCAGCGAGACGGACCCGACACCGCTGCGGGCACGGCCCGGCGGCACAGCCCGGCCGAGCCCCGGCACAGCCCGGCACGGCCCCGGAGCGGGGCGGGGGCTGCTCCCGGGGCAGCGCCCTCCGAGCGCCGCCCGGCCCCGCCGGACCCGGGCAGAGCCGGGGCAGAGCCGGGGCACGATCCGGGCCGGGGCCGGACGCGGCTCCCCCCGCCCGCCGCAGGCCCCGGCCCGCAGCGCCCGCCCCGGGGTCCCCCCGCGGGCCCCCCGGCCCGGCCCGGCCCGGCCCGGCGCTCACCTCCGGTGCCGTCCGAGTTCTCGTTGAGGCTGCCCGAGGAGTCGTGGTGGGAGCCCACACACCCGCCCATGGGGCCCGCAGACCCGCCGCCGAGCCGCCCCCCGCCCCCCTCCCCTGCGCCGAGCTCCGCCGCCGGCCGGGCAGGCGCGATGGCCGCGGAGCCGCCTCCGGTGCTGAGCGCCGCCCCCGGGGCGCGGCCTGAGCCCGGCCCGGCCCGCCCGGGCACCGCCCCGCGCCGGCGGGGACCGGCACTGGGACTGGGACCGGGACCCAGACCAGGACTCAGACCGGGACCGGCACCGGGACCGCCCCGCGCCGGCGGGGACCGGCACCGGCACCGGCACCGGAACCGAGACCGGCACCGGGACCGGCACTGCCCGGCACCGAGACCGGCAACGCCCGCGGGACCGACCCGCACCGCCGTGGGACCGAGACCGGCACCGGCACCGGCACGGCCTGGCACCGCCCACGGGACATCCCGGCACCGGCATGGCACCGAGACAGGCACTGGCACCGCACCGCACCGGGACTGGCTCTGGCACCGCACCGGCACCGCCTCTAGCCCACGGGACCGTCCCAATACTGTCACAGGGACCGGCACCGGGACTGGGACCGCCGCGACATCGATGCGACACCAGGACCGCCCCGGCACCGACACTGGGACCAGCCCAGCACCGGCACCGGGAGTGGGGCAGCACCGGCACCGGGAGTGGGGCCAGCCCCGTGCCCCCAGCCCGGGCGGGTCCCGCGGCCCTGGGTGCCGGGCTGCGTTCATTCCCTGCTCCCTGTGTTCATTCCCTGCTCCCTGTGCCCATTCCCTGCTCCCTGTGCCCATTCCCTGCTCCCTGCGTTCATTCCCTGCTCCCTGTGCTCATTCCCTGCTCCCTGTGCTTATTCCCTGCTCCCTCTACTCATTCCCTGCTCCCTGTGTTCATTCCCTGCTCCCTGCGTTCATTCCACACCCTGCGGCTCCCCGTGCCCGCTGTGCTCTGCCCCATCCCCGAGGAGTCCAAGGATGGAGCTCTGAGCATCCCAGTAGTGAAAGGTGTCTCTGCCCGGGGAACAAAATGATCCACAAAGTCCCTCCCAACCCAAACCGTTCTGGTATTCCGTGATTTTTCTCTGCACACGAAGAGAAAGTCCACACTCAGATAAATCCCTGCCCCAGTACCCAGCCACCCACCCCTGTGTTATCAGACTGCCAGTTTGCAATAAAAACTAAGCAAACTCAGTGCTTTTTGGTCAATCTGACCAAGCAGGCTTCAGTTCTCTGAGAAGAAAAGTTCAGCTCTTGTGCTCTTAATGCCCAGCTGGGTTATCTCATTTCGGCAGCTATCCCAGCCTGGGATTGGCGAGTTCCAGTTCCTACACTATCAGATGCACCGGAGCACCTTGGAATAATCAGCAATAAGTCAGAACACTGAAAAATGGGAGCAGAGAGTGCAAAAAATAGACTGGTAACAAACTGTGCTCTGGGTTCTCCACACACTCTGCTATACACAGCAGCCTCGTGTTCATGTACACAGAGCAGCACAAAACAAAACTCAAGCCGAGCATATTTTTCCTCTATAAAGATGACATTGCAAATGTATTTTTTGGAATTAAGATAGCATAGCTGTTTGTAGAGTTTCAAGTCACCAGAGTGAAGAGAACTAATGGACAAAGGTGTTTTTCTGCCATTAATTTCCCTACATAATCTTCATACCCAAAGCCCAGCCAGCCTTTGGGAAAGCTCTTGTGTTGATAATTAAAATCCCAAACGTATGAGATAAGCTGAGTGCCAAGTGCCAAGCACTTTGTCATCTGAGAACAAAAAGGCACAGAGCTCATCTGCTTTCTTGGGTCCAAATGGGAAGGTCAGGCCTGGTAAGAAAGCCTAAAGAACGATTATTAGAGTCTGAGCACATGCCCACTAATTACAACAAAAGCAAAAACTCCTTGTGTGTGCAGACATTTAAACCAGATCAAGGAACCCCACAGAGCTCAGTTGTTTTCAGATTTTATCTGAGGGAGTTTGCCTATATATACACCGTATGCTCAAAGATATTGCAGAATCACCAAATCAGGTTGGAAAAGAGCTCCGAGACCACAGAGTGCCACCTGTGCCCGATGCCCGCCTCGTCCCCTCAGCACTGAGTGCCACCTCCAGGTGACACCTGCAGGGATGGCTACTCCCGTTCCAAAGCCTGAGATGTGTCAGGCTAGGGGGGAAAGATTGAATATTATTTGTTCAAAACTGTAAGAAATTTGGAAGGCAGTTGCAAATTTCCCTGGGAGTAGGTGTTGATGTATTTTATGATCAGAGCACATAACTCTGCAAGGAAATAATGGATTGTGGGGAGGCACTTGGGAGGATATCTGGATATCTGCTGCCCAGTGAGATCCCAAAACTGGTGGAAATCCAGCGTGACTCTGTTCCATAACAGGGTGGCTGCAGGACTGTGGGCTGGTGTGGGAAAATCTGTCCCCACCAGCCAGCAGTCCGCTGGTGGAGCCGTGGAAAAACACACCAGAGCTTGTTATTCTGCCTGTTTGGGACTGAACTCTCTCACTGGATACCTCATTGCTCTCTCCCACAGGGTATGGAGCACATAAATAAGTGTTTGTGTGCATACAAACACTCGGGATGGGCCAAAGGGAATATTTACAGCCTGACCCCACGGATCAGGATGTACTTGCATTGTACTAACAAAGCACTGAATTAAAAACAAACGTTTTTTTTTCTAAATGGATTGTTTATTTTGAAGGTTATTCCTCCTCAAAATGAGTTGGCCTGAGCTTTGCAAGCAGTTTCTGCACCTCAGCCTCAGCTCTGCTCCAACACCCACTGTGGCCTTGGAGAAGTCAGTAACCTTGGCTGCTGTGTTTCTATCAGAGCTCGGTGTTTGTCTGCACATCTCTTGGGGGAATGGCCAGGATTAATTAATTCTTGCTCTTTATGACTTGCTAACTGCCTGCAATGCGTGGGATGCAAAACTTTGAACATCAAAAACAAATTTTCACAATTCAAGGGTGCTGTGGATTGACTGTTCCATGGAGGTACCACTGACCTGTGTGGCTGGGACTATTTGGGGGTCAAAAACCCTACAGTGCCAACAGCTGGAGGATTTTCTTATGGCCCAAATCCTACTGGATTGTGCTGTGCTGGGAGGGATGGGGTTTGTGGTGTGTTAAAGTCCCTGAGGAGATCTCCACGTGCACTGGGGTGGAGGAGGAGGAGGCACCAGGATGATCCCAGGGATGGAGCAGCTCTGCTGGCAGGAAAGGCTGGCACAGCTGGGATTGTTCACCTGCACAGGAGAAGCTTTGGGGTGAGCTCAGTGTGCCCTTGCAGGGCCTGAAGGAGCCCCAGGAAACCTGGAGAGAGACTGTACAAGAACCTGGAGGGACAGGACAAGGGGCATGGACTCAAACTGACAGAGAACTGGGTTCGATGGGATAATGGAAAGAAATTGTTCCCTGTGAGGGTGGGGAGGCCCTGGCATGGAGAAGCTGTGGCTGCCCCTGGATCCTTGAAAGTGTCCCAGGCCAGGCTGGACAGGGCTTGGAGCAGCCTGGAACAGTGGAAGGTGTCCCTGCCATGGCAAAGGAATTGGAAGATTGGATGATCTTTGAAGTCCCTTCCAACCCAGGCCATTCCATGGCTCTGTGATTGTCAGGTTATTTCCTATATAATCCTATATAATGCAGTATTTCCTGCACTTGGCCAGTTTTCCTCCCCAGCTGGGCTCTCGCTGTTTGCTCGCAGTGGTGGTGGTGGGTTTTGCCATCACATGATGATCCAGAGTGATAAATCCCTGTTCTCTGATGATTCAGCTCTGTGTGGGAACAAGGATGAGATGCTGACAAATTGCATCAGCACTGAAACTTCTCTCTCAGGCATCCATCCACATTTTGATTTTTAGCAGTGCTGCCCAGGACAGCGCTATCAAAGTCTTCACACTGTAAGTGAAAGTCTTCCCAAATTCCTGCCACCCTGCTTTTGACAGATGGGAAAGGGAGACACGGCTGATGAGGTTATCAACCAAAGGTCCCACGGGAAGCAGGAGCAGGAAAGAACCGTGGGGTCCAACTGCTCATTCTCCTCCTCAGAGAGTCTGAAGAGATTCAGCAATTTGCTATTTTCAGATTTATTTCCCCATGGCTCTTCCTGAAAGCTGCTGAGGCTGTAGCCTGATTTTCACAGGCTGGAGGTTTCCCTGCACAGCATTTCTGTTTGGATGTGTTTTTTAGGAATGCTGGCTCCCATTCCAAACTTTCCACCAGCAACATTTAGGCTGGTTCCAATCCCGTATAATCCATCCCTTCCCAAAGTGGCTGGTAGCAATCTCCACCACCCAGAGGCAGCAAAGCTGTGTCAAAATGATGCGAAACCAGGCAGGGTTTTGTTTTCCTGGCATGGCCAAGCAGAGAAAACTGCACAGAGGAATTCCTGTGGCTGAGGAACCCCAGCAGGTACCAGGAGATCCCGAGCTGGCCAGGAATGAACAGAGTGAGGGCTGTGTGTGCTCCAGCATCCCTCCAGGAGCACAACCCCCACTCCTGGAGCCTTGGCACACACCTCTGCTGCAGGGAATGCCGGCAGGGAATTCCTGAGGGAATTTCCAGCCTTGGGTTATTGCTGCGAAGAGCAATGTTGAGTTTCTCTCCTGATCTCTGCAAAGCCCCACGCCTACTCCTGGGGACTGCTTGGGGTTCTTTATCTCTCTCTGTTAATAACAGAAGGAAAAATCACTATTCCACTTGCTTTAAATGTTTCTGCAAAGGTCTGAATTTTTGATTTCAATTGCTGGAGAAAAGGGATCGCTGAAAAAACTAAAAATCCCTTTTAATGTGCAGCTTCAGCAATGGTGGCAGGAATCTTTGGAAGGGGTGGATTCCACTGCAAGATCCAGGCTGGATGGGGCTTGGAGCAACCTGGGCTAGTGGGAGGTGTCCCTGCCCATGGCAGGGGCTGGAATGAGATGATCTTTATGGTCCTGTCCAACCCAAACCATTCCACGATTCTATGATTGATTGCTTTGTCACATCAGACAGGTTTTGCTAATCAAAATATGCATTAAAAAAAAAAAAAAAAAAAAAAAGGAACCTTGACTGCTAAAGCAACAAAAGTGAAACACTGCTTCC